GACCGAAAAATGGACAAAGAAGCAAGTGGTAAATGCAAAACCCAAACAGAAAAAGACTCTTCTATAACACTGAAGAGGGGCCAAAAATATGACTATTTACAGTTTATGGCAGCCCCAAAATCAGTATACAAACATGCTAGAAATGCAATGCAAAATGAGGCTCAAAAGTGGTTATAACACAAAGTATACAAAATATTCAACAAACAGCCAAAGACCCTTAATTAAACATGACAAGGGGGTCAAAATATGGCTGTTTTAAGTTCGGACCAAAGTCCAAAAACAGCAACATCAGGGGCTGCCAAAGCATGCAAAAATGGGGACCAAAAGAGAGATATAACATGAAGTGTATAAAATATACCTCAAACCATGAAAGGCCCTTAATGAAACATGAAGAATGGGCCAAAATAAGACTATTTTAAGTACTGTAAAAAGGCCAAAAACAGAAGCACAATGGGCTTCCAAAGCATGCAAGAAAAGGGGACCAAAGAGGGATATAACATGAAGTGGCAGATGGAGATCCCAAACAGTGATGAGCCCTTTATCAATGTTGAAGAGGGGCTCAAAATAAGCCTATTTAAAGTTTACATCATGCTCCAAAACAGATCACATATAGGCTAAAAACATCATGCAAGAAAATGGCATTCAAGGAGGATATTGAAGCAAGTGCAATATGGGGGCCTCAAACAGTGTTGAGCCCTTAAGAAAAAGTGAAAAAGAGCTCAAAAGAAGGCCACTTTCAGTTAGGGCCGGAGCTCAAAACAACAAGCATATATGGCTTAAAAAAGACACAAGAAATGGACCAAAAATGGGGAAATGAAACTCACCCTTGAAGACAAGTATTTGGTTGCTTCTTGGCTTGAGAAGTGATGCCTCCTAGCTGCTGGAAAGCCTCTCAAGCTGCTGGAAATGGAGTAGTGGTGGTGGTGCTTGGTGGTGGTGAAGAAATGAGGTAGAACTTAGGAGTTTTCAAGGAAAAATGAGAGAGATGGATGGAGATATGTATGTATATGCTTGAAGCAATTTTTCTAACCCCTAAGGCCAATGTTGGCAGCTGGTTATATGGACCAAGGAGAGGGGGAGCATGGAGGGAAAGGGTGGGGGAAAAGGACCAAGTCCTTTCCCCAAAAGGTGTCCCCCGGATGTAGATATTTCTGGGGGACAACAGCTATACAACTGTAAAGTGCATATTGTGAGGATTAAGGCCGGCCAACTTTCAAAGCTTTAGGTGGCCGGCCGGCCACCCCCCCTAGCCGGCCGGCTAGGGGTCAAAAAGGTCAAGTTGATTTTCTGGCCGGCCACCACAAAAAGGTATCCTCCCAGGTCCCCTCATCACAACCCTGTGGTTCGAATTTGGAAACTGTAAAACAGGAGAGAGGATAGGCCATTTTTAGGAGGGGGTCAAAAGGGTCAGGTGGAATTACTGGCCGGCCACCAACTTTTAGGGTCCTCCCATGTGTGTATATCACAAATATGTGGTTAAAAGTTCAAGAAAATGGCCCAAGGGTGTTCAACATTGGCTCGGAAGTGAGAAAAACGGGCATCGGAGGGCGTCGGAGGATATATAACTGGTTGCTGAAATAATTGCTGGCCTCCCACCCTTCTACGGCCTTCCTGGTGATGAAACAGAGGTACCTGCCAAAAATGAACGAAAATCGATGCAAAACCAATGTTCGGGGGCCAAAACGCGCAGTTCGGGGCCCCGAAAACTGCCTGTTAAACACCGAAAGTGGCATTCGGCCACGAAGTGGGTCTCTCAGACCCCAGTGTCCCTCAAAAGGGAGCAAATAAGATGTATGCCAAAATTTAGAGCAAACGGAGATGGTTAAGCGGTCCCGAACCGAGGCACACGGCCAACGGTCCCAAAAAACCGGAAATCGGGCTCCGAAATGGGCAAAATGGCCTACGGCCACCAAATGTAGCCCACGGCCACTGAGAGATGGTCTACGGGACCTCTCCCTCCCCTCAGGAAAAGAAACAGAGAAAACCGAGTCTGGTTCGCAGACCGAGGCAAGGCAAAGAAGAGGGTTCGAAAGTCTGGAGGCAGGGCTCACGGCCGCGACTCTGAGACTTCTGAACGAGCACGATATGCCACATCACCAAGTGCTCAATCGGTGACGTCTGAGTCTTAAGGTCGGTCAAAAATGGGGTGTCTACAGTAGGCCACCGCCAAGTCTGAACCAGGTAAACAGGAGGGGAATCGAACCCTTATTGGTAGTGTGGGAGCATACCCACTTTTGCTTTGATTTTAGTTGAACTCTCCATGTTTGAGGATCTGCTATGGTGGCTGGGAAAGTGATTGCTTGAGCCAAAGAAGGGCTGCCCACTGCACCTTAGGGTGTTGGGTTCTCCACAAATTCGAAGCAGATTGAATAGAGAAGCACCCATCAGAGGATGCCAGCCAAATAGCTTTATCCTCCATATTAGTTGGGTTACCCTGAACATTAGCCTTAATGTCATCTAATTCCCAGGTCTGGCACACAGGCCATCTCCATCTCCCATCATCTATAATGGAAGCAACCTTAGCCTAAGCTAGAGAGCCTACATCATAAATAACTCTATCTGCAAATCTTTCCTTCAAAGGACCAAGAGGATGCCAATTATGAAGACAAAGAAAAGTGTTCTGCCCATTACCCACTTTAAACCAATATGTTGGATGAGATCATTTGTAAGGGGAGTATGTTGCTCATGTTTGTTCTTGCTTTTGTTCGTATTTGACATGATCACAAACCATTAAAAAAACTAGGAAGACAAAACTCTATGAATGCTGCTGGAGCAGATTCAGGCTCAATGAAAGGTGTATGACCTGATTTTGGGGTGTATTGTGATTGTATAGTTGCATGTTTTGGGATGTGATTTATGGAATGTTGTATTTATGTGTTTCTTTAGAATGAAGGTACATAATTTATAAAGAAGATTTGTTTCTTTACTTGGGCTGCTGATATATAAACTGGAATTTTTTTTTTTTTTTTTCGTTCTTCCTTATTATGTCTCAGTTTGTTAGTTACCATTCCTCGTATCTGACGAGTTCCATTTCTTCCAATGCAGGGAAGTTTCCAACCCTTGTCACACATCAAGAACCTGTCAAGTCTAAAGCTAATGAGATTAAAGCGACAGTCAAATTCCAACTGAAAAAGGTTCTCTGCATGGGAGTTGCTGTTTTCCAACTGTGCAATTGAGTGTTAATTTTCTGGTTTCATTGTTGAAGAAGAACTGGCAAAAATGTGAGTTTAGTCTCTTTACAAAAGTAAAAGAAGTAAGTTGCCATGAATTCATGATTAATTTTACTCAACTGTTACTAGGGGCTGTGCAGCAAATCTGGCACTGCCGTTACTAAGTTGCCATGAATTCATGATTTGTGCATGCCATTTGATGTATATCCTATAGGGTAAACATTGTTGAGTGTATAATGTTCTTCCCCTCTAGGTGGCTCACTTTTGTGTCAATAAAATTTTTCTTATCAGAAAATAATAGTCACAAGCTCTGAAACATTATGGCTGAACAGCAAACTGTTCCTGTTTATTGGAAGCTTCAGGCAGTGATGCTGTGAAGCTATGCGATTCGTAGAACAAGCTGTGGGAAAATTGTAATTGGTCTCTGACCACAATGCACACAAGTTTTACTGAAGTAACTCTATGATTTGCTGCAGAAAGACAGTGATGCTGTCAAAGAGGCACTTGCTCAGCTGAGGGAAGTTGGTTGGGCAAACAAATGGAGTTCTCAACCATATGTATCACGTCGTATGGTCAGTGTCCATAACAAGTGTGAAGTTTTGGGAAAGTGCTACTCAAACATTAGCCACGTCTACGAATGTATGCGTAAATGTACATAAATAATGTACATTTGTTTACTGCTTTGAAAACTTCAGTAATTAGTGTACTTGGTCTCACAATATGTAGTTTAACTGTTTCAAATTTATGCAGCAGACCTCTCTTCGGGAGCTGACAACTCTTGGAATTAAAAACGCGGAGAACCTTGCAATCCCAAGTGTTAGAAATGATGTAAGTTGCCCTACACTAAATGTTTTGTTTAACCTGTAACAATAAAAGAGCATACATTCCATTGCATAAATTTCATTCTGTATTTTTGGGGAATGAAGAGTAGAATGTGATGACACCTGTTCCTTCCATTTGATTTTCTTTTCTTATTTTTGCAAGATGTAAACCATCATAATTCGTAAATATTATAGTCTCCATGAATTTGATTTCATTCCGTCATGCAGGCATCTTTTCTGTTTACGGTGGTCGGGACAACAGGCTTTTTCGGTGTTCTTGCCGGGCAGCTTCCTCGGGTAACTTGACATAATATCCTTTCTCTCCGATTGAGTTGATATTATTTTGTTCCTTGAGATTTCCACTAATATGAAATTATAAGATAGTAAAAAATATATATTTATTAACTTATGTAATTGATTAGTTAATAAAATTATTTTTAAACAATAAGCAAATATACAAAAAAAAAAAAATTACATGTATAGCTATGGGAACCTAATAAAAATAATTACAAATCTATTTTTAAAAATTTCAGAATAAAAAAAATTAATTTTAATTTAATAAATGGGTTTGAGTAGGAAGGACATTGCTAGATTAATTAATATGGGAATGTTCATTATTGGCTATATTATATTAGAACTTTATGTAAATAGGAAACTATTAATAACAAATCATATATATAGTATTTCATATTTTAAAAATACCACGTCATATGGGTATCACATGTTTAAGGGTAAACACTACTTTTGAGACCCCATCAATGATTTGAAGGTGTAAAATACATCTTAAACAAAGGAGAAATTGCTGTGGTCATAATTTTTGTAATGCCAGCAGTGAGTCATGATTCGCAAATTTAGTAATGTGTATCACCATCATGTTCTCTTAGTTTACCATTGCTTAACGAGCATTTTATTATTGAGTAGACAGTGTTGTGTCATTATTGCAGCAATTACACTACTAATTTATGCGATGTTTATTACTCATGTACGTTTGTTACGTAATGTAGGTACAATGGTTCCGGGAGTCAAGACAGGCCGACGGAAGAGAGCAACAAGTGACAACGTACTATCAACATCTGAAGCATGTCCACAGGAGAGTGGCACCCCGATGATGTTGTCTGATGAGACGCAACCACCAGATGATACACAAACTGTGGTGGAGGAGACGCAGCCAGGTGGAGTGGGTAAGAGCATACTATTTAGTTGTTTAAAAAAAAAATTGGTTTTTTTTTGGGGGGGGTGCATAAGTCATCAAGTAAGGCAATGAAAACCCCATAAAGGCAAATAAAAACAAAAGAAAAAAAAACTAAACATTAATATACACATAACAAGGACACTTACACAAGAAATAAAATATTAGGTACACAACCTTCCAAGTTGGTAGCAACAGTAGGCATAACAATTTACGAAGACTTTATGCATAATTTACCAACACTTTATCCAAGTTGTCGCATAATTTTCCAAGATTGTATGCAGCCAAACAGTAGCTGCTAGCAACAGTAGTCATAATTAACGTCCGATTTTATATCCACAAACAGTAGCTGGCAGCAACAGTAGGCAGCAAAAAAAGTGACAGGACTTTACGTGCAGCATTTTCTTTTTGTACTCCATTAGCAATGTTTGTAATGTTGACAACGTTCCCCTTTTGTAGTAGGGCAAACGAGGTCAACTCGTGTTCGAGGACCTACATTAGGCAAAGGCGTGCAGAAAAAAATTGCTAGGAAAAAGGGGGAGAAATTACATGTCTACGTCAATCGGGTGTTGAACGCAATCACAGGAGGGAATGCAACCCCAGCGACGAATGAGTTGGGCCTTCAAATTAGACGATTGTGCCCTCTTCAGAGCGTGAAGTCATGGATAAAAATTGATCAAAGTACCAAAGATGCGGTCATCCAAGCGGTGCTAGTATGAGATTCATCTTGCCATAATGTCTTTATTATATAATTTGTAATTGGTTAAATTAATTGTTCAACTAATTCTGTATCTATGTTTGTAGGACAAGTTTGTTATCGGCGATGATTTTGATAACGATGAACAAGCTCAACAGATCCTCGATAGGAAGGCATATTTGCTATACAAGGATTGGAGGTACAATCTAAAGCAAGAGTTCCTCGAACTTGAGGAAAAGGGTGTTGATGACCCCTATAGTCGTCCGCCTAGTGGAGTGAGCTTGGAGGACTGGAAATATTTGATTGATGTTGCTTGGAAAGACGAATCTCACCTGGTAACAAACAAATTAGAAAGGCCATTATTGAAATTAATTTATGTGTTAATATGTAAAACTTCTTCACTAATAGATGTACAACTTCTTCACTGAAACTTAGTAAAGCATGTTCTTTTTTTTTTTTTTTAATATTTTTGTAGAAACGGTCTACGGCTGGTAAAGCAAATAGGGGTATGCTCCCCTATAATCATACAAGTGGATCGCGATCATTTCCTATAGCAATGTCGCTAATGGTGAGAAGTTAATTTAGACATGTAATGGATGATTAATTCTTCTTGATTGTGAATATTACCATGTACTAATTCGTCAATGGATTTTTCCCGAACATAACAGGCAAATGAGGATGGGGATATAGATTTCCCCGAATTTTATAAGAAAGCACACAAGTCTAAGAAGACGGGAGATTGGATTGACCCCAAATGTGGTGAGCTACATATGAGTATTGAATGTTGAAACCAAGTGTGATGCATATCAATTAATAAAGTTTTTTTAAATTCCTTCTCCCATCTTCACTTTATTGTTTTGTTGGCATTACAGGATGATATGGTGAATCTACAAGATTCGGTAAACATAATTTTCTTACTATTCGGTAAACATAATTTTCTTACTATTCGGTAAACATAATTTTCTTACTATTCGGTAAACATAATTTTCTTACTATTCGGTAAACATAATTTTCTTACTATTCGGTAAACATAATTTTCTTACTATTCGGTAAACATAATTTTCTTACTATTCGGTAAACATAATTTTCTTACTATTCGGTAAACATAATTTTCTTACTATTCGGTAAACATAATTTTCTTACTATTCGGTAAACATAATTTTCTTACTATTCGGTAAACATAATTTTCTTACTATTCGGTAAACATAATTTTCTTACTATTCGGTAAACATAATTTTCTTGGCACTGCAAGTTGTACAAAAAATATGGATCATATTTTCATAGAATTGTCTTCTAAAGTTGGTATGCAAATATTTTCTTTGTGATGTGCTTCGAATAGGTTATGAGGCATCATGTGAGTAGACATTGCAGCAGCCGACCTGGTGTTTTGATACATTACAGAAAGGACCGTACTCTGATTTCTATAAGGTAACCAAGTCCAATTGAATGTGATTTGAGATTTAAGACTAAAGAGAAATTAGAATGAATTTTGATTTAGTACAATATAATGAGTGCCATATAACTACTGCAAAGGAGCTTTGATTTCAAAACGCTAACTGTGAAGAATGAATATGTGATTCTTAATAATAAATTTGTAAAAATAAAACCAACACTAATTTGAACTGAATAATGTGTAAAACAAAATTAAAATTTGTTTGGATTTTTGAAAAGCAGTTTTCTTAGGATATTACTCTGGTTTGCAATGGACACAATGCCACCTAGTCACATCCAATATATATTTGTTGCAAATAATTCTTCTCCATAGTGCATCTTTATGTACACCAAACACACTCCGGGGATGGCAGTGGGGACAGATGAGACAGACGGGACGTAATTAGCACGTGTACGTTGGGAGCATACCCGAAAAACGCCATAAACTTAGCCAAGACAAGGGCTTCGAGGGCCGAAAATTGAGAGCAGCCCCCGACGCACTGCGGGGATGGCACGAGTAGCTTCCTCATGTCAAATAGGACTTGTGAGGACAGACGGGACGTAATTAGCATGTGTACATTGGGAGTTAGCGTGAAAAATGCCATAAACTTAGCCGAAAAAAGGGCTTCAAGGGCCGAAATTTGAGAGCAGCCCCCAAAGCACTACGGGCATGGCATGGGTAGCTTCCTCATGTCAAATAGGACCTGTGGGGACAGACGGGACGTAATTAGCACGTGTACGTTGGGAGTTAGCGTGAAAAAAGCAATAAACTTAGCCGAAAAAAGGCGTTCGAGGGCCAAAACTTGAGAGCAGCCCCCGAAGCACTGCGGGGATGGTACGGGTAGTTTCCTCGTGTCAAATAGGACGTGTGGGGACGGACGGGACGTAATTAGCACGTGTACGTTGGGAGTTGACGTGAAAAATGCCTAAAGCTTATACAAATATATTAAAGCTTAGCAATATATATATGTTCTATAACAATCTTTATATACGTACAGTTATGAATAAAATATATGTATGTTTACACATTAGAGTAAACTTGAGTTGGGGTTGACTTACAAATTTGTTTGCACTTTAAATACAAGTTAACGTGTACAGAAACTATATTGAAATACCTAAATTCAAATTATATTTACATACAATTTCAATTACAATTGACATCCTTGCAATTTGTGTTTTGTAGATGGCTATAACTTTTTGTTTACAATGGAACTAATGGGTGTAATTTTTGTTGTGTAGATGGCTTTTGGCATTGACATGTGGATCTTCTAATTTTTTCTCGGAAGATACACAAGCTGGGAAAGTTGGGAAGTTTTTTGTCGTCCTATACTTTTTGCTGTGGACTATGGATGCATCGAACATATAATTTTTGACAGGGTACAAAGTATTTTTGGAGCTTGTATTAATTAATGAATCGTGGAATTCGGATGCATCGTACATATAATTTATGGTGGGGTACATAATATTTTTGGAGCTTGTATTACCTTTTGTCGTGGTACATATGACCATAGTAATTTGTACCTTGTCAAATGGTCATTACAATGCATAGTATAGTAAAAATGTTGTGTATAGAGGACATAATTTTGGTAACGTATTTGGAATGTATGATGTTATTATTTGTAATTGGAATATATATAGTTCGTTCGTACATAAGTTTACATTATTATTTGTAATTGGAATATATATAGCAGGTGTTCATTTTTGTTTTATGGTTCTAAGTGAACCATGTAGATGATACATACAGGTTGTATACGTATTACAGGTTGCGGTGGATACATACAGGTTTGGACGAAATTTAGTAAAATTAAACAAACAAAACAAAAATATAAAATGACGCTTTTGGTGAGAAATCAATTTGTAGTTAAAAAGAAAAATCTTTTGGCGACTAAATTTTTAGTAGCCAAAACGAATAAAAAAAGTTATGGCGACTAATAATTTAGTAGCCAAAAAAACTGGAAAATAGTTATGGCGACTAAATGTGTAGTGGCTGAAGCTGAAAGGACTTTTGGCGACAAAATTTTGGTAGCCAAAACAACTCGAAAACATCTATGGCGACAACCTATTTTAGTAGCTAAAACCCCAACCAATTTTTGGCGACTAAATCTTTAGTCGCCAAAACATAACAAAAATCATAGGCGACTAAACATTAGTAGTTGAAGTTGCACTATTAGCGACTAAAAATATTGCCGCCGTAGATATTGTATTTTTTAGCGACAAAAACATTAGTATCTAATAGTTGAGTTAAAATATGTAATGAACGGTTTGGGCGACTAACGGTTTAGTCGGCAATGTCTGTTATCCGCGACTAAGACTGTTTTCGTCGCCAATAATTGTTCTTTTTGCCTACTAACATGTTAGTCGGTATTTTGTACTACTGATGGCGACGAAATGAATTTTAGTCGCTAATGCCTTCGGCGACTATGTATGGCCGACAAATCCAATGACCAAATTATTTAGTCGGGAAATACTTTCGGCGACTAAAATATGTACTTTTGGCGACGAATTTTTTAGTCGCCAAAAGTGTATTTTCTTGTAGTGTACCAACACCACAAATTATCATTACTTGTGTATGATAAACTACAGTAAACTCTTTTAAACTATAACTCATTTGTATTTTATTTCTTGAATTTCAAAATTCAACAGTTAAATCCTTTAAAGTATTATCTTATTACAGTTAACGTTTTTTGTTAGAATTCTAAAATTTATAAAAATAAAATCAGATTATGTGTGAAATACATAACACATTTATTGAATTTTTAAAACAATAATACCTGTTATTAATTGTTTTAGGATAATAATATTTTTATTTAGTAATTTCGTTTACATTTTGTTTTTATTATCTTAGTAAAACGGAATCACCCGAGACAAAGTGCAAATAGTTTATAATTTAAGAAAGTTACCTGTAATTTACCAAAAAGAGGAGAGATGTTTATTTTAGAAGGAACCTTCGTGGGAAGAAAAATGCTTGGGAGCACTAATTAGTGCTCCCACTAATTAGGTGGCAGTGGGTCCCGCCATGAATTTTGTGATGTTTTGGTCTTGGAGTTGTAATTTTTTTTTATTTTTTTTATTTTTTTAATGCATTAGTGCTATTAGTGGTGATATTTTTAGTGGGATGAATCATTGTTGTCGTGGGAAATATATTTGTGGGGGTTTTTGTTTGGACACACTGGATTACATCAGTTTTCCTCTCCCTTGTTTGTTTGTTTGTTTGTTTTTTTTGATTTTTTTTTCCTTCCATTTTTTATTATTATTTATATAATATAATATAATATATATATTATTTACACTAATTGATGTACAAACATTAAAATATATATAAACATACAAAAATCACACAAAATTATAAAATAATACAAATTAATAGACTAATAAAATGTATATTAATGGGCCAAATGTGTAATATTTAGGATCCGATGAGAGCCAATTCATATTTTAAACAAATCTCAGAGAGTATATTTATATTTTATCCTTTAAAAATATAAGTAGTGCTATTCTAACTCAAAGTTAGAATCATTTTTCAGAATTAATGATGTAGCAGTTTATTAAAATATTTAAGAGAACTCTCATTTTCATGTATTAATTCCTTAATCATTAATTAATTATCTCTTTTAGACATCACTAAATCTAAAACGTGGGCTTATATATTATTTTTCTTAAAATATAAATTGTGGTGATTCCATCACGATCACAATTAACAATTACTGATATATGTTATATGTACTCAGGATTCTCATTTCCTCTTTTACTACTTTTTTGATTTGCTTCAATTTTGTGTTCTTTCTTTCTATCAAAATTCCCAACAATAATACTTGGATTGCAGACCATAGAATACTTGTTAAAATTAACAAGTGTCAAAGAACAAGCCAAGACCCAGAACAAGAATGGTTTTACAGCTTTAGACATTGTGGAGCTGTGCCTTATCAAAGACTTAAAAACTATGGAAATTCAACAGTTTCTTAGAAGAGCTCCAGATATTAAAGAAGAGATATCGTCGTCGGCTGATCGTCAACCCGAAAATCTATTCATAAGGTTATAGGGAAAAAAAATTCAAGTTTTTGGAATAAGTATTTTAAGCCCGAGGCTGGTTGGTTCAAAGAAGTCTGTGTACATTTCATAACAGCATCCGCCCTGACAATTACTATTGTCACGACCCAAACCCACTCCTATAAGTTTGGTGTCGTAACTGGCCAGTAATCTGAGATAACCAAAGGCCTTCCTATACAATCAAAAATAATCGGGGCTAACAGAAGCAATATACGAGATCACCAATAGCCCAATGAGCTATGCATCTATATGAACTAACATGTAACATATAAACATTAATTTACCCACATAACGATACATAGCTTATAAC